TAAAAAATAAAAATAATTAAAATGAATGGTGAAAGAAGGAGAAGGGAAAATGATTTCCTCTTTTTGAAGGTGTTTTTTTACATTGAGGGAAAATATTTTCCTTGACTAGTTTATTTTCCGTGAACCAAACACCAGAAAATTCGGAAAATATTTTCCTGAAAGTTATTTTCCGCAAAATGAACGGAGCCTTAACAAACAAACGAAGTTTGCAATTATTAAATTGCGAGAATAAGGTATGTAATGCATGGCAATATCGTGCGTCCCGCATCGACGATAATGCCCCCGGAACATCTAATACAAATGCACGAAGATGAGCTTCACCTTATAAAAATCAGTTGAGCAGAGAAATAAATCTCTGCATTTATAGAAGAGGATTTCATGATTTAATTGGGATAAATACCGACGAAAGATGTGCCTAAAATTCTGTGTAGACTATAGTTTATGAACTTTGGTCCCCATTATTTTATGGACCGACCACCAGTTACCACCGACCAAGCCCTAGAAACCCTAGCAAAAATATCCCTGCAAAAGAATTTTTTGTAACCAGCAAATGGCCAAGAAAATCAGGAGCCACATTAATTTGACAAAAGAAAGAAAAATAAATAAATAAATAAAATGGCTATTTTCCTCACCTTAGAATTTTACATATGAAACTGCTCAGACCAATAAATTATTAAAATAATTAAGTAGTAATTTATAGGTTTAGGAATCAATTATATTCAGGCTTCATTTGCTAACGAGGACTCGACCCGCCACTGCGTGGGAAGCTTCCCCTAAGCTAAGCAAGGTTTGTGCTGTCCTCGCTAGGAAATCATGATCGCTACGTGATTGACGTGAGTTTTGTCCCATCTCTCCCAGCTATCGTAGGTGGGACGAGGCCAAGCCTTCAGTAAATGCAAGGCACGACGGCCCCATGACGAGTAGATCGCCACATCCGTAATTTTTTATAAAGATTTTACCGAAGAGACTATATTGAGATTTTCGCGCAAAGATTTAGGACTCAAATGATAGAATTAGAAAGTTGAAGACTGAATTGACATTCGTACAATAGATTTAAGACTGATTGGACAATTCCTCCGTTTTCTTTTTTCTGAATCGTAGCAATAAATATAACCATTCCAACATCCTGATTTCTCGCCAATAGGCACTGTTGGTAAAGAGATTGGGGGAGTGGGGACCTGGTATCACAAGTGCGGGGTTCGATTCATGCACTCTAATTAGAAATATGACAGACCAAAAAAAAAAATTACCCTGATTTCTCGACTAACTACACTAATTAATACATGCTTATCTAATATGCGTGCCCTCCACGACCTCGAGAAAATCCCCTAAGCAATAAATATCAACACGCGAATACTTGTCAAATTTTGGAGCACCCAATACGTTATTAATATAGATATTTTTATAACGCGCTCTGTGAGCGTTTGCGCGGCCTCTTTTAGATCATTCATCGCTTTGCGTTCGCTTTTTTTTTTCCTTCGAATTTACGTTCATACTATTGGCAACAATTATATTCTTTTTGCATATTTGCTTACTTTTTTTTTGGTCAAAATATTTGCTTACTTTTTTTTTTTTTTTGGTCAAGAAATATTTGCTTACTTCAAGAGGAGGGTTTCCTCAAGCGTCCTAGCAAAGGAAGTACATGGTTTGAGGTCCAGGTGTCTACGCAACCAGGCAAACCTAAGATTGTGATCAACCCCATCTCCACAATTCAAGTGGCTCGTACTCGATGGCACCGCCAAATGGAACGATGCACGTGATCGGCGCAAGAGTGCGAAATAAGCACATAGACTTTCCTAGACTCCTAATTAAATAAATATACGGAAAAAGCCGCAAAAAAAAACCTCAAACTATATCTATCGTGATACACTTATCTTGAACTTTTTCTAGAGACATAAAAAAAAAACCCCAAACTTGTACGTATGCGGCACATTCACCTTCCTAGGCGGCATGTCAATAATGTTTGCTTTTTGGCGTCCATGTAGGCAGATCAAAACTTTGACGGAGGGTCAACGGATCACACAGGTGCAAGTTTGGATTTTTGGTGTCGCAAAAAAAAATTTAGGGAATGAGTGTCATAGTGAGTATAGTTTGGGATTTTTGGTGGCTTTTGCCCAAAAATATATATTTGGCAATTCGTGTTTTCATGTCTAATCGCATCGTGTCGAACCTATAACATTACTTTCGTTACTTGCATCGCCCGTTTGAACCCTAATATGATACACTTGTTAAATATGTCAGGCAGCACAACTGAACATGTTTAATGCATTTAAGAAATGAAATTGGGTACATAAATATGTGAAAAGAGCGTTTAGATATCTAGAAAACTCGCCTAAGCCCATCTTGATGGGCTGCTCTCTGTCAATCGCATGTTATATTTTTTTCATTAAACAAATCTCGAAGCATCGTAAAACGAGTCAAAAATAGCTATGTATTCGTATACTATAAAACGTGTCTAAATGTGTCTTAATATGTTGTGTTTCCATCAATGGCATGTTATATTTTTCTTTTCATTAAACGAGTCTCGGCGTATCATAGACGAGTCGAAATAAGTATGTGTTCATATACGGATATATCAATTTATATCGGGAGCACCCTCAATCTTAACTTAGTATTTAATATTTTTGCATTAATTTAGAGATACGGTTCGTGTTTACGACTTTGCGTGTTCTTTGACCTGTTCAGTAAGCTCAATGTCTGATCGATATTAAATTAATCAAAACTATTAATATGGTCGATTAAATTTAGGTGGCCATTTAAGTTTGATTTACTCAAGATATGATACGCATTATGAAAATATATCGCCACAAGTTATATAGCATTGCCAAAAGGTAAGAATAACAGTGAGAATTTGTAAAATAGAAAAAAGAAGAAAAACTAGCAAATGGGTTCGCAAAATTGAAATTGAATTATCCAAAAAATAAAGAGCTACAAAATAAATTATCACTTAATATTCTGTATATGTAAATTGGGTTTATAAATACAAGAGTTAATACCACAAAAACCCTTAAACTAGTACATCTGTGACAAATTTACCCCAAACTAATTTTTGACAAAAAAAATTCCAAACTAGTATATTCTTGGCAAATTTACCTTTCGTTAGTATATATTAAATTGGATCATTATCACGAAAAATCACAAATCGGTATATGTATGACAAACGGAGGATAAAACCCCAAACTGGTATGTCCGTCAACTACCACATGTTCTTTAACTCAACAATTTAACAGTAAAATTTAAATTTGTTACATGTGTATCGATTTGGGATTTTTCGTGGTATTACCCCTAAATACTAACCGTGCCAACTCCATAAATGGAAGGAAATCGTGAGATAATAATGATTCACAGTGTGTATTACATAAAATAAAATAAATATGAGTTAAGTTAACAAGCGATTCAAGTGTTTATCCGATACCCCTTTTCAACAATTTTCAATTTTCTAAAATACTAAATACTCGTTATACAAAAAGTTGTTTCGTTAAAATAATAATATTTTTTTATAAATTAACTGAATCAGTGCACCTAAAGAATTTATAAATGAAAAATTCGATAAAAATTTTGGAAAAGCTTTCGGGTCAAAGTCAGCACCATTTGTTGACTTTTCATTTATTATTCTGGTGATATATATTTTTTTTTTGTGGGGGTTCAAAAAAATGACAATAATTAAAAAAGTTGGGGGAAAAAGGGACGACCATAAGTTTCGCGTCGTGCGTTTGCCCCACGTGACCCCCTCGTGATCCGCACGTGCCGCGGCTGACACCTCCTCAATCCGAGCCCACAACCAACCCACCAATCGCAAGGCACCATTTTTCCTCCCTACTTTTCTGATTTAACCCATTCCACCTATCCCCATCACACCTTTCATCACCTTATCATTTTCTAATTTAAAATAATCAAATTTATAATCTTAATTCTTCAAAAAAAAATTCATAAAAATTCCCATCCTAATTCTCTTTTTCCCCGAAACCAAGCCTTTAACATGAGAAGAAGGAAAAATGACACAAATAATCCATGAATTTTGATCAAATGTGTAATATAGTCCATGAACTTTTAATTTGTTCAATGTAGTCCTTGAATTTTAACTAAACGTGCAATGTGGTCTATGAACTTTTAATTTATTCAATGTCATCCTTGAACTTTTGGTACATGTTCAATTCAGCCCTTGAACTATATGAAAATGCTCAATGTAGCAATGAAAATGTTCAATGCAGTCCTTTCCATTAATTCAAGTTCAGGGACTATATTGAACATTTTCATATAGTTCAAGGACTGAATTGAATATGTACCAAAAGTTCAGGGATGATATTGAACAAATTAAAAGTTCATGGACCACATTGAACATCAACATAAAGTTCAAGGACTACATTGAACAAATTAAAAGTTCAGGGACCAACTTGCATATGAGCCAAAGTTCAGGGACTGTTTGTGTCATTATCCTTAAGAAGAAGAAGGGATAATAATTCACACGGTCACTGAAGTTTAGCCCAATATATAATGTGACCCATGAATATTAATTTGTTCAATGTAGTATTTGAACTTTAATTTAATATTTAGTATGGTCCCTAGATTTTTTGCGGATATTCAATGTAGTCATGAACTATACGAAAATGTTCAATTTAGTCCGTGAACTCGAATTAATGGAATAACTACATTTAACATTTTCATATAATTTATGGACGTTATTGAACAAATTAAAAACTCATGGACTACATTGTACATTGGGTTAAAGTTTAAGGATCACGTCAAACAAATTAAAAGTTGAGAGACCATATTATATATTGGGCTAAAGCTCGGGAACTGTTCGTGTCACTATCCTTGAGAAGAAACCCAAATTAAAGAAAATTTCCAGAAAAAAAATAGAAATTTTGTTTTTTTTTGGGGGAAAAAGATGAATTTTTTAAATTTGGAACGGTAAAACCCAAAAAGAGAGAGAGAGAGAGAGAGAGAGAGAGTGGCCCTTTTGTGTTGGTGCTGTGTTGTGCTGTGCCCCTCCTTGCTCTTCTTCTTCACCTACAATTCACTCCTCCCACACCTTCACCAAAACCTTCCACCCTCCTCTCCTCTCTCCCCCCTTCTCTCGCTCCCTCTCTCTCTCTCTAGCTCTTCAAGCCTCAGTCTCCCTCCTGTGTCCTCTCCCTCGCACGCCTCCGTTCGCTCGGTGTCGATCCGCCTTTGCTTCCCCCATCGAGTCCTTGACCCTTCTTTTGACTGTTTCCGGTTTCTGGGTGTTCTTGGGTTTCGCCTGTTCTTGGAAGATCTGGTCAGCTTGGCGATCGCCGATCCCTGTTGGGTTTTTCTCGAGGATTGCGTTCTGGGTGTCCCTGTTCTCGCTTTATCCGGGCACTGGGGGACCGCCATTCGGCGACCCTGAATCGTAATTGGTTAGAATCTGGGAGTTTTGTTCGTGTACTGGGATAGAGGGGAGAAATTTCGGAACTTTTGCACTTGGGTCGTTCTGTTTCCGAGCCTTTCTTGATTGAGGACTCGGGAGAGGCGAGGAGAGCGTGCCTTCGTTTTCCCGTTTGTTTTCTTGTTCTTTGGTTTTCCCTGGAGTGAAAGTTTATTTGGGGTGAGGAAAAATGTTGGGAACTGGATTGCAATTCCGGAGAGTTCGCGGCGAGGACCGGTTTTACGTCCCCGTGAAGGCGAGGAAGAACCAGAATCAGATGCAGAGGCAATCGGCCGTGAGAAGTAAGAATGATGAGAGTGAAAGCCCAGATTCGAAGAGGAAACCTTTTGCTTCTGAGAATGGGGATTCTACGGAGGCCGCAAATGCCGTGGACAAGAGCTCGGTGGTCTCTCGCAGTAATCTCGACAGATTCTTGGACTCGACCACTCCTTCAGTGGAAGCTCACTATCTCTCCAAGGTTTACAAATACTTCACTTTGGGTGGTGTGTGTGATTCATTTAAGGAATGGAGTGCGTACGGCGCGGGAGTGCCACTGCTATTAGATGGAAGAGATTCCGTTGTTCAATACTATGTCCCATACTTATCGGGCATCCAACTGTATGGTCCATCTACAAATCCAAATGCTAAGTCGAGGTATCCATATGCTTCGAGTTTGATTGAATGTGTTGTAGCAAGCTCCACCATCGCCTTATTTTATTGTTGTTTGATATCAGTTAACGTTTATTTCCCTTATGTATTGTGTTGTCTATGGAGTTGGCAGCTCATTTTTTCATTTGCGCACACATGATTTCCACCATGTGTGTGGGTCTCATTTATCTAACTCGTTGGAGCATGTTGCATGTCTCTCTCTCTCTCTCGCTCTCTCTCTCTCTCTCTCTCTCTGCCAATGTAATAGTGTTAAGCTAGCTTTTCACTCGTCTGCCTCCTAAAGTTTGTTTATCTCACTAGTGTGGAGCTTTACCTGGATGTCAGAACAGAAACTTGTTTGACTAATGGCTGGTTGTGGAGTTACAAACCCATTTTGTAACATCTTAAGTGATTGCAAATGCTTAGGTCTCCCATTCTGTGACCTTATGGCTATTTCTATGATTCCCCCATTTCTGTTCCCTTCTATAGCTAATCACCATGTGGCACAATGTATGATTTTTCCGTTTGTGAAGGAGTTGTTTGTGAGAAGCTACTCAATAAAAGTTAGAATTGGACTGACTTATTGAAGAAGACATATATGTATCTGCTTTTCCTCTTTTAATGCTAAATAAACTGATGTAAAAGTAGACAGAATTATTGGCATCTGATAGCGACAATGGATTATATGGTTGACTTTTCATCAACAAAGAAAATTTCTTTATAGCCCGTCCTATCTGATGTTCAACTTCATGACATTCTGGTGCTAGTGCTTATAAGGTTGGCAAATTATGTAGTGTTATTTGTATATCTATAGTTGTCAACTTACACCTGGGATTGTACATAAGTACGCACATGTTTAATATGTACTAAGTTTAGAGAAAAATACGTGCATAGGTATACACCACTTTATAGACGCGCACGTATAAATATATGTACAAGCGAGCATGTGCACACGTTGCTTGCATTCATTGTTTGTATTATCAATTAACACAGTGAGTTTTAATGCTTGGTTTTCAATTTGGCTCCAGTACCGCATTATTTATTCTGTTAGCTTTGTTCCTGCTCCGCCATATGGTTTTTTCCCTTGTTGCTCCTTATCTTGTAAGATTTATGTTTACATTGTTAAAGTTCCTAAATTGTAGGTCAGCTGGTGAAGACAGTGATGTTGATTGCTACAGGGACTCAAGTAGTAGTGATGGAAGCAGTGATTATGAACTTGGGAAAGGCATGCTTTCTAGGAACCTCCAGCATTATGATCATCCAGCAAATGTGGTTTCTTCTAGAATCGGTAGGTTGTCAATGAGCGACGAGCAAAGTTCAGGGATGGAAGGCTTTTCTAGTGATGATGGTGACACTGGCATCTCTAGAGGTTGCCTGCTGTTTGAATATATGGAGCGAGATCCTCCTTATAGCCGTGAACCATTGGCCGACAAAGTTAGTAATTCTCTTGAATATTTTCAAAGTTAAGCCCTGGCCCGATCTCCAATTTGACTCTCATCTATTTGTCCTTGTTCTCTGTTAGGTGATGGATCTTGCACGTCGATTTCCAGCTCTGGAGACTTTCAGAAGCTGTGATTTGCTGCCATCAAGTTGGATCTCTGTAGCATGGTACGATTTCAGTATTTTTTTGTCACAGCATCATGATGCACGAGGTTCTTGAATAACTTTTCTGGTATGATGATAGGTACCCAATATATCGGATACCAACTGGTCCGACGTTAAAAGATTTGGATGCTTGCTTTCTTACTTATCACTCCCTTTCAACCCCTCTCGAAGGTACTTGTACATGATGACCTTTTTATGAACCTTTTTGTGTATATACCTGTGCCCACTAGTACAAATTTGCTGCGGGTGCGCGTGTACACCTACATAAATACATGTTTACGAATGGCGATACTTGGACCAGTTATAATACCTAGGGAGAGTGGCTTCTACCAACTTGGTCTCAATACCGCTGATATGTACCTCATCAAGTTCCGCTCTTCCCCCTTCTATTCCACTCCATGTCAGAGTTGTGTCTGAGCTCCTCTTCCTATAGCATACCCTTTTCGGGTAGTTACAAGTTATTGTAGGATAGCAAACATCTAGTACCTCAAATCAACAATAAAAACTAAACTCAAAGGTAACATCTCAAGTGACTTGGGCTGATAAATTGAATGGTATAGAAGATTGTGACTTTGAGACAGAAGTGTAGAAATGACATCATTATGGCTCCTGCATCTCATTAATTGTGGTAGTGCAAGAAGTGCCAGAGAACTACCTTGCAATTTGAAGTTACTTAAAGATAAACGATATATTTACATGAGCGATTTTCTTAATTGATGGTAACCACTGGTGGCATAGTGATGGGATGGTACTGCTTCTAGAAACAAGAGAGAGGGAACCGTAGAAATCCATTTCTCCCATGCATTACATCTGAGGTGCTGTTAGGTTTGGTTGCAGAAGATGTCAAATTGTTGCTACCCCTCACTGTGAAGAGTGTAGGGTGTTCTCATGAGAAGTCCTGGTGGCATCTTCTTGGTTTAGAAGCCATCAGATAGTATCAAAATGGTCTCAACTGTATTAACCATCGCATATCAAAATGGTCGCAACTGTACTAAGCTCAATATTTCCTTTTTCTGACTGACGTGCGCATCTGACTAACATATTCTGATGTACATATTCTTTTGCCTATAGATACTTTAAGCATCTGCACAGTTTTGCACTGTAATATTCTTAGCAAAATTTGAGGCAACTTTTTTTGCTGGAAAAAAAAGTATTTGTTTATGAACACTTCAACATTTTTAATATTCTCCCTTTGCTCCATCACATTATGCGCACATGATCTCATATGAGATCTTCCATCAATCTTTTGAAACTGAGGGAAATTGTTTATACTCTAATTTTTTAGTAAACTGTAGCTCTGGATCATGCAAATAAATTGTATCGTTTTTCTGTTACTTTTAGATGTCTTTACATTATATGAAGCAAAGTCTGAATGATTTGCAGGTAGTGGAGGTACCCGTTCTCCAGTTGTTGTATATCCCAATGAAACGGAAGGTGTCCCAAAGATACGCTTAACAGTTTTCGGGATGGCTTCCTACAAGTTTAAAGGATCCATGTGGACACAAAATGGGGTCAGTGAGCATCTAATGACGAATTCCCTCACGCGGGCTGCAGAAAATTGGCTGAGACTGCGTGGGGTGAATCACCCGGACTTCCAGTTCTTTGCTTCCCATGGCATGCATGCCAGGTGATGATACGTGGGCAGTCTCACTGTTTTAATAAAAAAAATCTTCTCTGCATGCACGAAGGAAGCATGTGATGAACAAAATCGTACTCGAATTTTGGGGAGTAGCTATCTTTCCCTCGGAGGAACTTTTGTTGAAATGGTTAGCTGTTGCTTTCGTGACAAAGAAAAGAGAACTCTGCTCCCAAAATGGAGGTAAGAAAAGAATCAGAAAAGGGTGCAAGAATGAGAGCAGAGAACTTTCTACGGAAGGTGAGGATCTTGATTGCGGCCGGAAGATACACATGGAAGAGAAGCCCATTAGAGTGACAAAGGTGTAAATTGGGCTAAAAGTGACTGTTATCTGTTGTTCTCCCCTTTCCTTCTCCTGGCAAACATATCTTACTAAGCTTGCTACTCACCTGCATAATGACAATCTAATGATAACAGAGGAAAAACCATATGGTTTAGTGCACTTGGGGAGTTTGATTTGTTTGCCAAACAGGCTGAAAGAATTTGACCTTGGTGTTCCATGTTACTTTTTGGTTGATTGATAGGCAAGAAAATGAGTACATTTTTTTCCTTTAGTTATTTGCTGGCTTGTTTCCGTCCAGTAGTGCAATGTTTGTTAGTTTACTGCGTTTCGTGGTTGCTCGTGATGGATTGGCCCTTGAAGAGTGGATTTTATGTCTGCATGACTTCAATTGTCTAAAAGAAAGCCGCCCTATGATTGGAGTGAAAAAGACATCATTTTAGTGGAGACTCTTGTTCACCACAGGTGTACTATCCCTTGCTTAGATTGTGCTCCTACATAAGTTTTGGAACAAGGGATTGTTTTTTTTTTAATTACCAGAGTGAGTCTGCATGGACAAAAAATGGCTGAGTTTATAGATGGTTTAAATACTTAAGGTTTGACCGGATCTAAATATTGGCTAGGTAAGCGTCTCCCAGTCATCGTCCTTGCAGATCGGATCATCCATATCTCTTCCAGACGGAATCATTTCTCTCAGAAAAGTCATCATCTGAGGAGGTAGTTCCTGTAGATTCAGATGAGAACTTGAAGAGGATTTTTGAGGTGTGCAGCTGGTTGCAACCTACATTTGTACCTGTCCTCACGAAAAGTCAGGGCGTCTCTTCAAATAATAAGAAAGATTTGAGTTTTCTGGGGAAGCTGAGAATCATTGATGCTGATGAGTTGTTTGCTAATAGGTTTTTGATCGCAGTGATTGTACGTAGCAATGGTACTGATTAATGGTGGTGATTGTCGAAGCTAGAGCTCAATGATGAGAATTATTTACATGACATTTTCTGCTTGTAGCATTGAGAGACTGAACATCCATAGATATTGCTGGCCAAATTGGACTAGTTACACACCAGATGACATTGCTTGCAATTTTGCTTATAAGAGAGAAGACGCATAACAGCTGAAAACAGTGTGCTTTGAGCCACACTATGCCTAGTGGTAGTAGTACATCCCAAGCAAGGTAATACATTAGAATAAGCCTGGAAATGAGTACATGTGGTAAGTGTGGCCATGACCCACTTACCATTTTCATCTCTCATCCAGTGCCTTCACATCATATATAGCAACATAAGCACATGCAACAAAGGACTTAAACCCTCTTAAAATATGACAAAATGGTGCATCAGAACATAGGTAAAATTCTTAGTTACTGAAGTAGGACTAAAGGCATTGATAGTGAAAGCTCTAGGCATGACTGGATACGTCTCAGCACTTGGGAAAGGGAGTGCCACAAGTGCTGGCCACTTTCCTGGCATTAGGGGAATTGACAAACTTCTTGAGGTTTGGGTTTTTGAGGTACTGGCAGAGGCAGGGCTTCTGCTCCTTGATCTTGCTGCAGCACAGAGTGGTCGGAGGGGTTGCGGATGTAATCGCGCTCACGCACGAGCTCAGCTCTATCGGCTTGCACGCCACAGCAGCCTCCACACTCACCCCCGCTTCCGCTAGGAGCAGCACCGCTAGAAGAGCGCAGAGTGCGACCCTGGGGGCCCTCATTGCTTCTCTGCTTTTGGTTGCTCTAGGAGGACGGGAGGAGAAAGAACTAGAGTGAGTTTGTATGTGTACTTGGGTCAGTGTGATGCATTTTGCTTTGGTTGATGCTTGAATTTATAGAAGGCAAATTGGTGAGGTGAAAAAGAAAAAAGGTTTTTTAATTGCTCCCTCTAGAATGGGATCTGCCACTAGCTATGGTTGGCTAGTGATCAATCAATGCTTTGATTGGGCCACTAAAATGCAGATGGTTAATTATTCCTAGTCATAATGAGGATCAGCATGCTCAAGATGCCCTTTTCTTCCCTCGAAATTAGCTGAATAAGGTTTAATACAGTTTCGGAATCATTATTGCAATGCAGAGAACGATGTGGAGGCAACTTTTCGCAGCAACTGTTTGCTTTCGGTGATGCTGATGTAGTGTTGTAATTTCATAGCAATCATATAACATGTTCTCATCATTAGCTGGTCCGCAGACATGCATATTTGCTAATCATTCATTCGTTCTGTTTATCTCAGCAATGCAAGGATAGCTTTGTACACACTTGCTTATAGCTAGTGATTTAAATCAAAGTCCTATTAAGTCCTCACACTAAACTCATCTAGATCTTAAACGAGTGTCTAGCACGCGTTTCCCCGATAATGTACGTCGAGACGGCTCTTTCCCTAAGGCAGGTCCGTTGAGACGATGGGCGCATTGCTCGGTGGATTACACAAGCCGTAAACGAATATGGTGATTAAGAACATTTTGATAAGCTATCATAAGCTGCTATAGAGCAAGCACAAGTCAAATTTCGGTGATTTATGAGATGACATGCTTCCTACATGCTGTATAAGGCTAAAGTCACTTTTAGGATCACGCTTTCTCTTTGGTCAAAATATTCTCGCCAAGGTGTCTTTTAATCTACATACAAAAGCTCCTTTGTTTTTTTCCCATTTTTGTTTATGTATTACTCTCCTTTTCCTTCAATGTTGGAGCCTTTGATTCTTGGTTCAGATACTATTTACATTTATACAACAAGGTTCTAACCATGCAACATGAGGCGAATGATGTTAAGAAGGGGAAAAAACATTAGAAAAGAACCAAATAAACACCCAAAAGTAATATAAAGTCTAAATTACGTTGAGTGAGTCAAATTTATGAGGAAAATTGTCCAATCAGTCATAAACCAACTTTCCAATTTTGCCAATTAAGTTCTAAACTTTTGTGCGAAATTCTTGTTTTATCATTCCGGTCAATTTTTGCTGGAATCGCTAACATGGCAGTGTGTCGCGTAAGACGGCCGGCGATGATTGAACCGTTACGTCAGTGATTTCCGATGAAAATTGGTCAGAAGGATTACATTGGAATTTCGTGCAAAGGTTTAGAACTATATTGACAGAACTGAAGTTCAGGACTAGATTGGCATCCGTGTAATAGGTTTATGACCGATTTTTCCCATTTCCCGAGGTATCATAAAGCCGACTCATTACGTTTCACATGCGAGCCACCGATTAATTCAATCGTGGAACATGTAAATATATCCAACTCCAAGAATGCTGAAGAACAGTTTACACAGGGTCAGGGTTAAACAAATGTTAACCCCATCATTATGCGACCAACTTGGTCCAACCTAAAGTGAAAATACTCACGGCGCTTTAATGGATTACACTGGCAACAAGCACAAAAGCGTGGTCGTGATTCCATCTCCCGTTTTTGATCTCCAAGCCTTGATTTTGCAGGTTCGGCAGAGAGTTCAAAGCCATCATTGAACCGGTCAAGGCTTTGTGCCTAACGATGGTGATGATGATGGTGGTGGGGTTCTCATGATTACTTCACGTTAACAAATGAATTCCGCGCGCACAAACTATTGCTGATATAGTCACCAACACCATCTTGGTGATCTTTCAGTTGATACTTCTACGTAGAAGGAACTAATGCCGACTAGATCGCTCTGATGATCGAGACCCATAAGAATCCAAGGCGAGTAGATAGGAACCCGCATAAGATTTGAGTTATGGCATAAGGTGCGGTCTCGTGAAAAGCCGATCGGTTGAATTAAGCGGGCACCGACCTATCTTGAGAAGAGTGACCAGGTCTGGTTTATCATGGAAGCATGACGGTATCAATGTGCTTTTGAGTAATTGCAATCATTATGTAAGCATGCCTTAGAAAAGAGAAGCTTCATAGGAAAAGCAGCTTTTCACAGAGAGTGAAGAATGGCCAATTGAATGACATTGATGTTCCTTGATATACAAGGTTTCTGCTTCCCAATATCACATTCAATCAGACTGCCTACAAACCTTCTTTCCTTTCCTGTTTTTCTTGTGTGAACTAGCATGTGCTTGAAGCCACCGGTTCTCACCTGCATATTACAGAGGGAGAGAGAGAGAGAGCGCGATTATCTAGCGCAGGTTACCTTAATTGATCTGTATAAGTCATGTTGGTAAAAGAGAGAGTACGTTATATTGAGATCAAAAGAAGTATTTATGAGTTTAGATTCAGCCTTGTGCAACTACATAGGCCAAATACATAAATAGGCCCAACTTGCTAACACTATAGAATACTAAATAATAAATCCGAGACTCCCCACAAGTTGGGGGTATATATAAAAAAGGTCTAACTTATGACATATCTATGAGTTTCGTCCATGTTGAAGAGGCTTCGTGAAAATGTTTGCTAGCTGCCCCTCATAACTCGTGGGCATCAACCGTATATCACCACAATTTACCTTTTCCTGAACGAAATTACAATCCACCTATATATGCTTCGTTCGCTCATGAAACACTGGATTGCTAGCAATGTGAATAGCAAATTGATTATCACAATAGAGAGTAGACGACCCGGTCATAGGCAGTCCAATCTCAGCCAACAACATACAAACCCATTGAAGTTCACCTGTAACATTAGCCATAGCACGATACTTGGCCTCTGCACTAGATCAAAAAACAACGGACTTTTTCTTGCTTTTCATGACACAAAATTACCACCAAGGAAAACACAATATCCCGAAGTAGATCGATGATCCATAGGGCAACCGGCTCAATCTGCATCAAAATATCTTGTCACCTCTAAAGACTCAAGGTCAGAATAACCAGCTATATGAAGATGACCCCGAGTATAGAATACAAGCCCTTGACCAGAAACTCCCTTCACATAGCGAACAATCTATAGGACGGTTTGCCAGCGAGTAGTACGGGGAGAGCTCATGAATTAACTCACCACACTAACATCAAAGGAAATATCCGGACGAATAATAGTGAGATAATTTAACTTGCTTACTAATCGGTGATACTTCTCTGGATCATGAAGAAGCTCTACGTGTTCATTATCAAGCCTCACTGCAGGGTCCATAAGTGTGTCCCCAAGCCTAGCGTCATGCAAGCCCACCTCCTTAAGAATGTCAAGAGTATACTTTCGCTGAGAGAGAGCGATACTGCCATTGGCATAGGCAACCTCTATGCCAAGAAAATATCAAAGACGACCCAAGTCTTTAGTGTTAAACTACTTCTGTACCTTCAACGTCACTTATCAATATAGATAACAAGAATAACACACCCCACAGTAGAGGACATACTAAACACAGAGTGAT